TCTTTCCTTAAAAAAAAAAAAAAAAAAGATTGCTGTCCTCTCCATCTCAGATTCTAACTTCCTAGTGAAATGTACACTCAATTCTTGGGCTCTTCCCCGCCGCCCCCTCCATTTTTTTCAATGTCATGTGGTTATACTACTATTTCCTGATTTGTAGTTTTGGATATTTAGAGATTGCATATTATGGAAGATGAAAGACTTAGCCATTTTACATACCCCCAACTATCTTTCTGTAAAGCAAATATTTCTCTAATCCCCCAGCTTCAGCGCCAGAATACAGCCGCTTAGTACAGTGACAGCTGAAGTCCCAACACTTGGCCACAGCTCTAGACCAGCCCACTCCAGAAGGATGCACACACTGCAGCTGCATTCTCCCAAGATCATATGGGAATTATCCTTGTCTATGAAGATGCTTATAACACTTTTAAATGATTTTGGAATTCTGGAGCAGCAAGTAAACCACCAGTACCAAACCCTACAAAACAGGAATTTGGCAAATTGTTCATTAACTGGCTGTAAAAGTCAGGGACCCTCTAGCTCTATGCATCCCACTTTCCCTACGCACCCACTCTCCCAGGGAACCTCCATCCTTTGCAGACTCTAAACCCTCTGGCCTCAGAGTCCTCCACTGTAGGGGTTTGGGAGGAAGTCAATCTTAAGTTGGGGGGCAAACCAGCTCAGCTTATCCATGGAGCCAAACTGTTGATTTCTCAAGTTTATATGGGCCTCCTCGACTAGCTGTGCCAAAACAGTCTCCTCCACAAAGACAAAGACGTAGGGTCCTTGCTCTTCATCCCTCTCAGGCTCCCTAGCTCTGAGGTGAGGGAAATGAAAAGCTGACACAAGCATCAGCAAGCATGTGTGGACTCTAAGCAATGCCAAAAACTCCATTACTGAACACTGACTTTTGTGGGGGTGGTTGTGCTCTCTTCCCGACATTACTCATCGTATAAATTAGTACCAAATGGTGCAGGCCCTTGAATCCCCCCTATTTAACAGTGGCCATGTTCTGGACACCTAGGTAATGTGTTCACCTAGATCCATCATTGCAATTGAGAGGTGCTCTGTGGAGTAGAGAGGCGGTGAAGCAAACCCGCTCTAAAATGGGTTGCCTGACTATGGGTCCTCACCCACACGCTTAAAGGGGACTTAAAGTGCAGGCACATACTAAAAGTTAACAAAGGTTTATTTACAAGGGAAGGGGAATGAGGAAATGTACAACTCAAGGAGAAAAGAGGGAGATAAATTCTTAAATGCGTCCTACGCGTTCCACTGACCTGGAATCCCAAGTGACCCTCCAAGACCAAATCTACCTGGCCAAGAGCACTAACCCCACTAACATGGCTGGTTTTTATTTACAAACAGAGAAAATGGCTGCTTAACTCTGCCCTTAGGTCCTCACAACTTCCCTTTGGGGATCATGGGATTTGTAGTTCCCAGTGTCTTGATGGAGTGGGGGTGTCATCCACAAAGCCTGTATGGAATTCACTCATTCTTTCTTTTATAGATATGAATTCATCCTTTTCCCCTAACAAAGAGACTGTGCTTTTAGGCAGAGCTGAGTTGATGGGGGCAAGCAGCAGCACGAGGAGTCAGAGCTGAGAGTAAGCAATAATGCCAGGAGCTTACTCCTATTTGTAGATTCAGTGGAAAACACAGTGAGAAAAATATGACACAAAGCCCTCAAAATGACCCACCTTTAAAAAAAAATCACCTGCCCAGGGCAACAATAAAGCAAAGAATTTTCATACATTATTAAAAGCTATGAATGTGGACACTATCTGCTACCTATTGAGCACCTATACAGAAAGCTTTGTAAGGGTTGCAAGAACCAGAAGGGTGAAGAACCTGCCAATAATCCAATTAAATGAAGATTCATTCATTCACCAAATAAAATACAAAACCCCCCAAAGGGCAGGCTTTTAAGTGGCAAGAGAAATAAACAGAGACTTGTTGGAATTTTAAAGGAGAGAACAGTCGTGATCAGTTGAGAGAGACGCATTAGGACACATGAATGGAGAAACGGTGCCAAAATCCTGAAAAATCAAAATACTTGCTAATCAGGAGTCTCTGCCGGTGGCTCTGGCAGGAAAGGTAGGAACCCACACCAGGCTGGTGGCAGGGCACCAGAGAAGAGGCCTGGGAGCCTGTGGAGGCAGGAGAGATGGCGAATGGCAGCAGATGCCAGGGGAAGGCAGGTGTGCAGTATGTGTACATGCTCATGCGTGTGCACGCATACACGCACATACACACAAAACAGGATGCTCATTTCACTGAGGAAACTATGACATGGTTTTATCTTCCTGAGAAGTTGGGAGGGCAAACCAGAATGGAAGATAATCACAAGAGCTGGGGAAGTGTGACAGTAATAGTCCACACGGGGCAAGCACCCCAGTCGAAACCACCCCTCTCCACAGGGAGTTGGAGGCACCCCTTCCTTGCCTTTATTCCCCAATGCAGTGTGTGCACCAATACCCTCGCCATAATGTCTTGTTTGCCTGAAATCAGGGGAGCCCTGACTTTAGCAGCAGAAACAGAAAAGACATAGACTTGGTTCCTTAAGTTATACCTAAGTGTCTCATCTACATGCTGTTCTCTCAGAAAACTCCGTAATTCTGGTCCATCCTAAGTTGAAGAGGGTCTCATCACCATTAATACCCTTTCTGTAATAAGTGAGCTCTGAGTTCTGCACCTCTGTCTTACCAGCACATCCTAGAACACAAGCTTTGGGAGCTGCGAATATAGGAGTTGAAGCAGCTGCCCACTTCATTGGCTCCAGCTTTCAGACACCTCATTTACTGTCTTAGGATCTTGGGGAGCTCACAAACAAGTGGGGGCCCAGTATGTAAACCTTGGATGACACTCCCATCCTTACATGGCATGTGTTCCCAGTCATTAAGGCCTAACGACTGGGCTTTCTTTGGGGACGGGAGATATCACTGCCAATAAAACCTTGTGTGTGAACAAATGGAATGAGGGCAGTGATCACACACCAGGGCCCACACAAAATGCCATCAAGTGAGGCCCCGCCTCCAGTGAGTGTCTGGAAGCAGCAGGGCTATTTCTTCCCCTCCTTCCAGGCATTTGGTGTTATCCTATAGCAGCCCATTGATCCCCTGTGGATTAAAGGACAAAACCAGGAGGGATGCTGGCTTCCATCACTCCTGTCCCTCTTGTCCTCTCTTGAGTCTATAAATCACTTCTGGCAGGTAGCTGGGAAGCAGCTGCTAATGACAGTTTTGCTCTGGAGCACAGGAAGCCACCTTTTAACCTGCCTGCTGTTGTTTGTCTCTCAAAACGTGACAAAGGACAGATGTAAGCAACATGCCAACTGTTGAGAGGATCTGCTCGAGCACTATAGGAAGCCTGCTCAGAGCCACATCACACCAGCCGCTCCATGGAAGGACAACCGAGTTCATTTCCTGAAACCCCTACACACGCTCTGTTCACATCAGATTGGGATCGGTAATGTTGGGGCAACTCATCACACGCAGCCCTGCTTCTGCTCTGGCCCCTGGGGTTCCCCAGCCTCAAAGTTCCTTCCTGAATCCTGTTCAAATGCCACCAAGGTGCCATCCAGCAGCCTCACCTCCTAAGTGGTCATCTCTGGCCCCCAGACCTCCCCCTCGTCTCTGGGTCTCACCATCTGAGCCAGCCTCTATGCCTTCCAGGGGCCAGTCTCATCTCTGTACACACCATCTGTGATCTCCACAAGGGCTAGAGTGTGGTTGATACACCTCTAGTCCCAAAGTGGTGTTTTTCGAATCACTAAGTGCATGATGAGTGCATTAACAAAAAAATTTAAAGGGTTGCAATGTGTATTTAGAACTTGAAATAAAAACTAGTTTATAAAAGACATCCTTGGGGCACCTGAGGAGCTATTGGGGAACTCTTAGATGATATGAAATTCCTATTAAAATTTTCTTAGATATAGTCTTGGTATTGTGGTAGTGTACAATGTCTTGTTTGAAGGTGATGTATGCTGAAGTACTTAGAAGGGAGCTTGCTTTCAATTGCATCAGCAATAAAATGTGTATGTGTGCATTAGAAGAACACACACATGCACACACAAATGCACAGATAAAGCAAATGGAACAAAATGTTACAACTGCTGAATCTAGGCATAGCTTATATAGGTGTTCACTGTACTATTTTTTGAATGATTCTGTGGGCTTGAAAATTTTCAAAATAAAAAATAGAAGGACCTGAAAGAGAAGAGAAAAAAAATCAGGATGCGGGCATGAAGTATCAAGTGGCTTCAGGTGTCTGTGGATGTATGCATGTCCTAGATTATCATGTAAATGCATTTCTTACTGTGAGCCAGGCCAGTCTGATGCTACTACCCTGTAGCTCCTTGCTGCACCAAGCAGACAGCAAGCTGGAAATAAACCCTATGTTAATTACCTTCCAGAAGCACAGGATTTAAAAGAAGAAGCAAGCCGAGAAATTATTCGGTCTCCAGTTACATCCCATTAACTCAAACTGTGTCACAACAGCCAAGCCCTTTCCTGCCATGGCGCACTGGAGCCTAACCTCAACTGGGCCTCCAAGCCTTTATCAGATGTCGAATTACTCATTGGGAAGGCTCTCCCAGGCTCTTCCCTCCATGCCAAGAAGGGGATTGTGTTGCAAGCAAACTCCCAGTAGGGTGACCAATTGCCTAGTTTGCTTGTGACTGAAGTGTTTCCCAAGACGAGGGCCTATCAGTGTTAGAGCTAGGAGAGTCCCAGGCAAACTGGACAGCTGGTTATCCTAACTAGGAAGATTCAAGAGAACCATAGACAGGTCTGAGAGCTTCCCCTTCAGGGCCATGTGGTGGATGGTGCTACAGCCACAGGTGTACAGGGTAAACCCAGCACAGCAAAAATTATGACAAGCAACCTTCCCTTGGCAACCTCAGAGCAACATCAGATGGCAAATCACTACGTCTCTCATGTCTTTAAACAGACCCTCTTTCTGATTATTCATCCATATTATCTGGAAAGCAAAAGGGAACTTACCGTAAAAACGTCATCATCGCCAAGCTCAGCTTCATTATGGATGGTGGAAGAAGATGTTGTGGAGCCTAAAAAAAGACCAAAAATTGCAATAAAAGGTGTTTCCAAGAAAATTAAGCCAAATGCCATCATTTGAAAGTATATTTTAAGGAAATCATATTCCATTCCTTTTGCACGTAAGCTACCAATATGTTAACTTGGAATGAAATGCTTTTCATTTACTCTGTAACTGATTCTTGCCAGAATGTTCCCTTTGTTCCCTATCAATCTCTCAAACTTCCATGCCGGCCACTTGGGAACAAACAGAGTCCCCATGGAGGGGAGGGGTGAGAGGAGAGCAGGCATCAGCAGGTCTCCCCCAGGAATCCTCTAGGTACCCTATGAAAGGGAAGCACACTGGACTGAACGCCCTGTTTAGAGCTGCCACAACTGCACTGTGTAAACTGGACTTAGTTCTGGGGTATTTTCATCTACCAGTGAGAGGGGGATTTAACTGGTATGCCTGCTGCCTGTATTAAATTCAGGCACCCAACACTAAAATCCACACTATGGGTGACACCTGGCTGACACCTGGGCAAAGGTGTCAATGTGAATACTGGTTTTCTCTTGCAACACCAGGGTGCCAGTGAGTTTTCTCCGTGTTGCAAGTCAAATGCAGGCTCAGGTCAACCCAATTAATTCCATCATGGAATGAACTGGTCATTTAGGGATCAATTTATTAGTTCATTCTTCATATTTTTCTTCATTCTGGTCTGCAAATTAGTGTACTGGCTTCATTTCCCACCTATTGTATTCAGTAATGAATGGCTCAACTTAACTGACATTGTTAAAGGAAAAACATGTTTAAGAGATGAAGATACCAAAAGGGAAATTTATTCTTTATCTTCTCCTTTTCTTGGTTAGGTCTTTAAAAATGTGCATTCAGGGGCCTCCCCGGTGGCGCAGCGGTTGAGTGCTGGGTTGCGAAGCTGCCTGCAGTCTCTGCAGCACCGGTTCGATCCCCGGCTGCTCCCCGGCCACCAGAGGAGGGTCCCACATGGCGTGCAGACCTCTCCTGCCACCCGCTGCTCCCCTCAGCAGTGTACTTCAGTCCTTCTGCCTGCTCTGCTCCCCGCTTTGGCTCTGGTGAATTCTCTCACCTCCCACACTTCTGACTGTAACCAGTGCTTGTATAAATAAATAAAATAAATAAGTAAAGATAAATCTTTAAAAAAAAAAAGTGCATTTAGCAAATGCTACTACATAAAACCGAAATTCAAAGAATGGTTCAGAAAGTTATAACAAATACTGCAATTTCCATTGAGGAACACAGGAGGAAAAGTAACAGTTCCTCATTGTTCTCTGCAATTCTTTCTTTTTTTTTTTTTTAAGATTTATTTATTATTTATACAAGCACTGGGTACAGTCAGAAGCGTGGGAGGGTGAGAGAATTCACCAGAGCCAGAGCGGGGAGCAGTGCAGGCAGAAGGGCCCAAGTACACTGCTGAGGGGAGCAGCGGGCACGGCAGGAGAGGTCTGCGCGCCATGTGGGACCCTTGCTGGCGGCCAGGGATCTAACTGCCACTGCAGAGGCTGCGGGCAGCTTCACAGCCCAGGGCTCAACCGCTGTGCCACCGGGGAGGCCCTCTCTATGCAATTCTTATTGATCTTTCAGGATTCTTTCTCTACAGTTTGAATTACTCTAGTCAATCAACATTTGAGGCAGGTTTGAAAGGAAACAGAATATATATATATATATATCAATCATATACACACGCACACACACACATATATAAAAAAGTTACAAGTAGCAGAATCAAATTTTGTGTGTAGCGTCAATGATAGAATACACAGACATATTACAGATTTCTATCAAAAATATACGAGCGGAGTGATTTTCTCTCTAAACATTTAAAACCTATGTTTAATAACAACATTTTAAATATATGCCACTCACAGTGTGCACACTGGTTTTTACTATCCTTTTGGTTATATATGATTATAGTTAGCAGATTCACATTCTCACTATACTTGTCTTGCTACTGAAATTAAATGATTGTTTTAAGATCTGCTTGTCTCTCTTTCCCCAAATCTATAGTTAAGACTATGACTTTAGAACACTCTGATTTCATAAACAAATGAAACATACATTCTCTTGTGGTTAATTCCCCCAATTTCTGAATTTGGCTTTAATATGCCTTGCTTGGTTAATTTTTATTTCGTGTGACCCTGGCTATGGCACCTTTAACCCTCTAATTTGATAACTGTCGTGAAGTAGAGAAATTTGTGTGCTTCCATGGGTGGACTCTAGAAAGGTTCACCATGAGAACTGACTGTCCACAGGCTTTCCAGGCAACCATCACATACACTACAATGTCTACTACCCACTCACTCACAGACTAAGACCTAAGCAGAACCCAGACTCTGAGAGTCACAGATCCCTTTGCTTTTCAGTGGCAACAGTAACCCCTGAGCTCTGGCTACAGGAAATCAGTTGGTAGGTTTGGAGTCTTCTTGGCCTATCAGAGTCCATTCTCTACTTCTGAGCCAAAACATATCAGACTAAAGTTGTTTCAATAGTCAAAGTGAGGTGAAATCTGTCAAAAATTCACTCTCATTAAGTCCAGAACCTGTCTTTTCAGAGCAGAGTCCAAAAATCAATTGGAGTCATTCCTTACTCTGAAACCCATCTATCTCCTTTCTTCCTGAACTGTCAATTTAATTGTTATTGTATATTTCCAAAGTTCTGGCATCTACTGGGCCTGGCCCTCAAGCACCTAGCAAATAAGTCACAAGAATATGACGGTAGAATTAGAAACAACCTGGAACATGTCCACAGTCCCACTAAGAGTGCAGTGACTAATTCAATACCTTCTATAAGGTCTTCGATTGCTTTCCTCACCCCCCTGTCAAAGGCTCGAGCATCAGCAGGGCTTTGGAAAGTAAGTCCAAACTTCCTGTTGTCGACCTTCCAATGATGAAATGTTGGGTTGGCTTTGGTGTAGACCAAGTCTTTTCTTACATAGCATTCCAATACCACCTGAAGGATTGAAACACATAGGCTGGTTACTTGTGGAACGTCATGATGGCGTCTGGCCACAAAAAAATCTATCTAGGAACCATCATCCATCATTGGTGGCTGCTAATGAAAACCCTCCACTGTTGCCTTTGCTTATCAGGTCTCCCCATCTCAAAAGAAACCTTTGTGCGTCTCTGCTGACCATCCAGTCTCTGTTGACACCCCTTTAACACTCTTGGCTTTGCTGATCCTCACTGTACTCCTTAACTAGGCTCTTCATCTCCTCTAACTCACTCCTCTTTTTCCTGCTCTGACTTGGAGTGGGAGGAGGTGGCATTAAGCTGAGACCCAGGTCTTGGGACTTTGCTCTGCTTTAAACTTACTGCTTTTTTGTCAGGGCTATTTTACTAATGGCTTTCAGTCTCCCCTCCTCTGTCCTAATGGGTGTTCCCCAGTTGACCCCAAATTCAACAAGTAGAAAAATTAACTAATCTGCTCTGAAATTTCTGCCACCAGTTTCCTCTCCTTACTTCCCCAAATCTAGCAATACCAACCGCTCTTTATTCATTCTCTTTAGCTCATAATCTCTTTGCCTCCTCTGCTTTCTCTACCCCCATGCTATTAATCACCTACTCATTGCATTTTTCCTTCAACATCTTTTATATCAACCCCATTTCAGTTGCTGCGACCCTGATCTAGGTTTCTGCTAACCTTTTACCTGGATTATTAGAACAATATAGTAATCCAGATTCAGAACTGCCCTTTATTAAACTGTAACTATCTTCAAACTTGAATCTTTTTATCTCTAAATGGGATTACACCAATATCAATGAGAACACATACACGATCATGCTCTGAAAACACTGAATAATGGGTCACCAGGAAATAATTCATTTCCTGGTATATTTCCACTATCAGGTTTTACGCTCCTATTTATTCCATTTCTTATCACCTTCACAATTTGGTACTTGATTTCTTACTATTCTCTAACAGTTTCATGTGCATTAGTCTTGTTCCCCTAATAAGACTGTAAAAAACCAACATGCACTATAAAATAATCCCTCTATGTCTAGCACAGTGCTGTTGTTGATAAAGATGTTGGAGTTGAACATTATAGGATAAAAGTAGTACAGTCATTTGTCTACAAGTTTCATTCTTATAAAAACTCTAATATATGGACAGTATTTATTCCTATGGTTCCACTTTATATACCAATATGATTCTCAGTTTAAAAACTTTAGTTTTGTTCTGGCAAATAATAAGCACAGCATTTAATAAAATGAATCCTTATTAATTTTAGAGTAAGTGAAGGGAAAGAGTAATGGCCTATCTCAGTAACCATAGTGCAAATTCATCTCTTGAGATTACCTTTGAGTAATACAAACTTCAAGAATACATCTAAGCAAAGAGAAATTAAATGCTGCCTAATAAGCATTCCCTAACTTAACAGATGAGCGTAATATTCAAATTGGTGTATCAAATAGCAGCTATCTTTATTACATTGCATTGAAAGAAGACAACAGTCCCCTCACACAGTTCTATTTTGATAAAATTGCTTATTATGGCCATTTTCCCCCCTAAGAATAGTGCAATGATTAAATGTCAGCCCAGCCCCATTCCAAATTGGGGAAATCCAAATAACCAAGGCTTTAACGAACAAATGTTATCTATTTTAGAATTTAACAAACTCAATTCAAGTCTCAAAATAAACTTTTTGTAAAAACAAAGACTTCCAGTTTCTTCATATTTTTAGGATGAAAAGAATTAGTCTTTGATTGACATTTTCCAAGTTTAAGATTATTCCAAAGGTATACTGTTAGAGAAGTAAAATAAGTCCAATCACCTAAATTAAGTGAAGTGTGTGTGGGGGGGGTGGGGGGTGGGTATGATCAGATAGCATTTCTTTAGGTCCTCTTAAAACAACATCATTACATATCTAAATTTAATGATGAAAATGAAAAGTTCAGAGCTTTAATTTTTGTAAGACATATAAAAACCTTCAGTGAAGTTTTGGCACATGTGCAATTAGGTATTAACTTAAAACTTGAAAAAGAGGTTTTAGGGCCTCCCCGGTGGCGCAGTGGTTGAGCGCTGGGTTGCGAAGCTGCCCGCGGCCTCTGCGGCGCCGGTTCGATCCCCGGCTGCTTCCCAGCCACCGGAGGAGGGTCCCGCATGGCGCGCAGACCTCTCCTGCCGCCCGCTGCTCCCCTCAGCAGTGTACTTCGGTCCTTCTGCCTGTTCTGCAACCTGCTCTGGCTCTGGTGAATTCTCTCACCCTCCCGCGCTTCTGACTGTACCCAGTGCATGTATAAACAAAACAAACAAAGAAAGAAAGAAAGAAAGAAAACATGCCTCTATAAAAAAAAGAAAGAAAAAGAGGTTTTAAAAATATCTTTTTAAATGAGATGCATAGAGAAAAAAAGTGATTACATTTTTGTTGAAGACTTAAAAAAAATACATACAAAGAGGAACACATGAAGGCGCATTCTTATTCATTTCTTTATCCACCCCTGAGTATGGTAGACAAGATCCCAGTTTCCTTTCTGTGGCTTCTTTATATACTCGCGAAGTTTGTGTCTAAGCTTGAGTGCTTAAATGGAGTCACACCTGTGAAGTGTTCTGCAACTTGCCTTTTATTGTCAATTAATTTAAAAGAATTAATTGCGTGATTGCTCAATATGGATGTACTAGAATCATTCAGCCATTCTCCAAATGAATGGGCATTTAGGTAATTTCTACTTGGTCACTTTTACAGATAATGCTTCAGTGAACATCCTTACACATGTTCTCAAACTCTGGTATGTGGGCCCTTGAGAGCTATTTCTCTGCAATTCCCAGACCCCTCTTGGTGGGGGCTGGGGGGTCCAGGATAGCAAAACTATGTTCCTATGAAACATTTTTGTGTTTTCACGGAGCTGCTATTCTGCTGATGGTATAAAAAGAATATGGTAGGTAAAACTGCTGTGCTACGGGCCTCTCTGGTGGTACAAGGGGTTAAGACGCAACCTATGAAGCGATCTGCAGTCTCTGCAGCACGAGTTTGATCCCTGGCCAGGGAGCTACCCACATGGTGCAGCAGACCTCTCCTGACTCACCTGCTACTCCCTTCAGCAGTGTATTTCAGTCAATCTGCCTGTTCTGTTCCCCATTCCGTCTCTGGTGAATCCGCTCACCCCCCCGCACCTCTGGCCTGTTCCCCAGTTCTTGTATGCATAAATAAATCTTTAAAAAAAAAAAAAACTGCTGTGCTATAGAGGAGTCAAGGCATCGCAGGAGCACCAAAACACCACCAAAGTCACCCATGTCTTTTCACTGTCAAAATAGAAAATGGCAGCTTTATTTCACTATCCTTGATGAATCAGTAAAAATTATTACTTTATTAAATCTTGACCCTTGCCATACACATTTCATATTTTGGGGAAGTTCATGTAATTGGATTTTTATATCTGCTTCTGCATTCAGTCTACTGTAATATGTTGCTTTGGTTGAAGTAGATGAAGAAACTCTGGTTTTGCACAAATGCATAGTTGGAAAAGAGAAGAATGTTTCTAATAGCCTTTTCACTTCTGCTGTGCTGGAAGAAAGAGGGTTGTCTCAAGGGAAAGTACTTGTGTAACTGTTTCATTTGTAAGTTAAACTAACTGCTTCTTTCATGGATCACCAGTTTTACTTAAAAGAACAACTGACAGACAAACTATAGTTACCCAGACTCGAGTATTTGGCAGATTTTTTTCCTGAAAATGAACAAAGTGAGTCTATCACGTCAAGGAAAACAATTAGAGGTATTTGTTGCCAATAATAAAATTTGAGCTTTCAAGTGAAAATTAAAATTTTAGACAACTTCCTAATAATAAAGACTTTTTAAATGAGATTAGTGGTGATATTTTGGAATTGTAGAATTACATTTAATTCGTAAGATCTGCGTAAGTCAGTAAACCATTATTTTCTAAATGATCAATGCATGATCTTACAAAATCAGGAAAAACTAAAAGATCCCTTCAAAGTTAAAGAGAAACATGGATTTTAATGTTATAGGGCATGAAAAATTTACTGATATGGCTCTAGATCCCACATTTAAGAAACTACTACTGGCCAAGTTTTGGTACAGTATCAAAGCAGCATAGATCTGAAAAGACTATTAAAATAGTTCTCCCTTTTCCAAGTACGTGTCTCTTTGAGGCAGAGTCTTTTTCTTTGTATACTTCACCAAAACAACAGATTGCAATAGGATGAAAAGCAGAAATAGATATAAGAATCCAGCTATTTTCTACTAAATCAGACATTGTAGAGATTTGCAAAAAGGTAAAAGCAATGTTACTTTTCTCACTTTTTTAATTCTAGAAGTTACTTGTCATAAAGAATGTTCACTACACTAACACTATTATTAAGACCTTTTAAATCTGTTTTAATTTCTAATATGGTAAATATTAGTAGCTAGAAAACACATGCAATAGCTCTTTGGGATTGTCAATAATATTTTACAGTGTAAAGGAATCCTAAGACCAAAAATGTTTGAGAACTGTTGCTGTTCACAGTATTTCTAAGACTATTTTTATAGACAGCATTTAGATGAGGAAGTACCAGGTAAAACGTTATGTACATTTAAAATTAATACCCTACCAAATTGCCTTTCAAGGTGCTCTGCCAGCGGGGACTCCCAGCAAGTGTGTGAGCGCTCCCTGACCTGCACATAGGCCTGGAACCAACCTCTAGAGTCTGTGATTGATCTTCATAGTTTCTCTCATCTGTTGAAGGAGTAAACTCCTCTAACCATCTAAAATAAGATGGGACTCAGAAATTTTAATTTATCATAACTTTTTGCAGGAAAACTTGGTTGTCCCAATTTATAAAAAATGATCTGAAAAACTTTTTTTTTTTAGATTTTTAAAAAAATTTATTTATGCATACATAAACTGGAGTGTAGGCCAGAGGTGCAGGGGGTGAGAGGATCCATCAGAGACAGAGTAAGGAACAGAACAGGCAGATCCACTGAAATATACTGCTGAGGGGAGCAACAGGTGAGACAGGAAAGGTCTGCTGCGCATGTGGGTTAGTTCCCTGACCAGGGATCAAATTCATGCCACAGTGGCTGGTGATAGCTTGATAGTGCTGAGACTTTAACCCCTGTGCCACCAGGGAGGCCCCTGAATAACTTGAGTGGATGTCCGAACACAGACTTTTCCCAAAGACAAAATGGCAGTTAAATTCGCAGGTTTCAACATGTCATGTAAAGAAGCATTAAACTAATGTGCTGGATTCTAGAACTGCATTATGTTAGGAAAATAATCAACAGCACCTTGCTACCAGAAAATGCACTTCATGTCCTAGCTGGAATACTGAGAACTCTGATAATACCTATCTACTGTATCCTCAAAAGATCTCACCCACTCCTCCCCAGTCTACCATTTAGTGTTGGGGAGGGGGGTGCAGGGAGGGTGCTGCAACAACCCAGCCATTTGCAGAGCTCCCCTGTGAGCTCATCCTCTCCAGCAGACATAGGTGCTGCATTATGGAGGTCAGGAGGACAAAAAAGGAAGAGCTGTTGTGGGGACAGGGCAGAAGGAAGGGAGTTAAGTACCACTGAGTAGAGCAACCCAGAATTTTCCAGAGTGTGAGATAGGTAAGGAATGGAAAGATGGAGAAGCACAGCTGCATGTATGACTTACAGGTACTTGTAGATATAGTCGGGAAGTGGAGTCACAGAATCACCAAGAATAAGGATTCTTTCTAAATTTACATTCTTCATTCTCCAATTATAATCATACAAATTGCTATCAGAACACAAGAATACAGTCTATATAAAGGGTGAGCCCTGTTCTTAGCACATGGTAAGTGCCATATAAGTGGGAGTCACTTCTCTCTTTATTGCTGGGGTTATATTGCCTTTGTTATGAACACATCCCGAATAGACAACAGTTGTTAAAATGAGCTGAATTCTCCCCTTAAGTACTCAGAAATGAATCAAGTATGAAAATTGCTATTCTGTTAAGCACATATATCATTTACAAACTGTTCCATCGTATCTACTATGGAAAACCTTTTATTTATTTTAAAAATTTATTTATTTATACAAGAACAGGGGTATAGGCCAGATGCATGGGAAGGTGAGAGGATTCACTAGAGACAGAGCGGGTAACAGAATAGGCAGACTGATGAAATACGCTGCTGAGGGGAGCAGCGGGTGAGACAGGAGAGGTCTACTGCGCCATGTGGGACCCTCACCGGCTGGCTGACCAGGATCGAACTAGCACTGCAGAGGCTGCGGGCAGCTTCACAGTACAGTGCTCAATCGCCTGTGCCACCATGGGAGGCCCTGGAAAACTTTTTAAACAATAAGAAATGGTTGCAAAAGAAAATTAAACTTGTACACTTATTATATAAAACTCAAAGGAGGCAGCTGTTAAGGGTCTGCAATGTAACAGTGACATATTCCTATTCTGTAGTTTCCCTGTTGAGATCCTGGAGGCCTCTGTTCTGTGAATCATCTGCTGGCTTCTAAATACACACGCCCCAATCAAATAAAGACAGAAGCAGTGCTCCTCCAGGTTAGGGGCCGCCCGGTAAAGCAGATTTGGACATTCAACTTTCTTTCATATCATAGAGTCTTCGTAACAGAGAAGCCAAGGGCCTCCCTGGTGGCGGAAGGGGTTAAGCACAGCACTATGAAGATATCCACAGCCTCTACAGCACAAGTTCGATTCGTGGCCAGCCAGGGAGCTACCCACATGGCACAGCAGACCTCTCCTGACTCGCCCACTGCTCCTCTCAGCAATATATCTCAGTCAGTCTACCTGTTCTGTTCCTCACTGTCTCTGGTGAATCCTCTCACCCCCCGCACCTCTGGCCTGCATGCCAGTTCTTGTATGCATAAATAAATCTTTTAAACAAAACCAAACAAGAGAACTGGATATCCAAGTTCTTAATGAAACTATATGTTTTGAATTATCAACACCTCTTACCCATGTGAAATTACGATAATTCTCCAAAGCATAAATTTATAAACCAATACTATTATTACAGAAATGTAATACCTCTACCTTTTGTTATTTTCTTTTTCCAAACATGTTTTATTCATTAGCTGATGAAATAAAAGCTATAGTATTTTTTTAGATAACCTTTATTTAGATATAATCAAAGGTTCAGTTGACCCTTGGCATTTTTACCTTTCACCAGTCAAACTTTGATGGCATGCTTCATGAATAAACCTACTTTAATAAAAAAGCTGCCTTCACAGCTTACTACAATGTGATTCATAATAAAGAACACACTTTTGTTTTGAATATCTTGTAACGGTGACAGGAAGACAGCTTAATTAATCAAGGAAGCAAATAGGACAGCCAATGCATGACTCGCAAGCCTCTGAATTATACAGTGTGGTAAAAAGTGACTTCGCTGGAAGTGAAGGCTATGTTCTGCAATTTGGCATGAGCTCGAGAGTTCTAACCTTTCAAGTTTTAGAAAGAGTTTGCAATCAGAAAAAGGAAAAAACAACCGAAAGCTAAGAAGAAGGCTGTGATTTAACGTTAATCAGTCTTTGCTCATTTAACCCATGAGTGGCATATGCCATTACCAGTTTGTCCTTCTGTCTTTCCCCGTGGATGAGAAAGCTGCTGCGTCCGTTGCCTTCTGGGTGCATGACCTTACAGACCCCCACACGACTGATCCCGCCTCCTTCCTGTGGGAACCATCCCCCGCTGGAGTCATCTCTGGTCATAACCACAGCCTTGACACGCACAATATAGCTGTCACTGAAACGACAAGAGCAGGACATGACAAAGGTCTGGTGGCTGCAGGACATGTTTCACAATGCAAGATGATCCCCAGTCTGCACTTTTCTAGGCTCATGAAAAGAAAATCTGTCTGGGAGCAACCTTATAAGGTAGTCCATTTCAACATTTATTTTGTTTAAAAGCACATTTTTTCAAAAGACATTCAGTAATTAAAAGACACTTGTGAGTCTACGTCCAAATCCTAAGTTCACCATAATCATTTATTTAGGTGGGAAAATATTTCTACTTAAATACCCTTTACACACATGTAACCTTCTGTTTATGATTTTATTTTTTCCAGTCTAAACTGCAATTTCACAATAAGTTCTTTTGCACATTTGCCAAAAACCCTTTTTCTCTTCCAAAGACCAACTCAAGTTTCTATTCATTCTTTGTCACTTTTGGGGAAATTTATTTGCATTTTCAGAGAGGTCATTAAATTCTCCTTGCTGTTTTCTTTTTTTGACTTGAATTAATTTTTTTTTTATGTACTTGTTCTATATTCACACTTCTTTATGCTGGGTGCAGTGCCAGATTCTAGGGAAACAAAGATGCAGAGAACACAGAACCCCCCCTTGTTCCTAGGGTCTCAGGGAAGCCCACAACCTTCATCTCTGGGTTACCCCTCTCATTTCCTGAAGGTATAAAAACAAGTGGGTTCACTGCATCCATCGCCCCACGATGTTCCCTGTCATGATTCTTGGTAACTTTATTATTCCCACAGAGAATCCTTCCAACTGCTTGGCCTCTTAATTTCTAAAAACCTTCTTCACTACTTTTGTCTTACACCCAACCCTAGTAATACCCTTGACCGTGTCATTACCAATATCTATCCAACCTCCATAGCTTCTGCTTTAAATCATGCTGTTTTCCAACCACCTCCTAACTTGGCAGCTCACTCCCTCCAGACTCCAGGAATTCTTCACCATGTTTGAGCCAACAATTTCTTGTCCTACCTTGTTTTGGTTATCCATACCCCTCATATTCTCATTTGATTTTCTACCAAACTTAAGTTCCATGGTTTATGGCAACACTATTTTGCACAAAACCTTAACATCCTTACCTTCTCTTTTCTCATTGTAATTGCCTGGAGAAACTCCAACAATCTAAAGCATCCCCTACCGCCACCCCAAACTGTTGTTCATGGTTGGGGGGGGGGGCAAACCCCATTTACTATGCTCAGTTTTATTTATTTATTTATTTATTTATTTTTTTTAAAGATTTATTTATTTATTTATACAAGCGCTGGGTACAGTCAGAAGCGAGGGAGGGTGAGAGAATTCACCAGAGCCAGAGCGGGAAGCAGAGCAGGCAGAAGGACCGAAGTACACTGCTGAGGGGAGCAGCGGGCGGCAGGAGAGGTCTGCGCGCCATGTGGGACCCTCACCCAGTGGCCGGGGAGCAGCCGGGGATCAAACCTGCGCTGCAGAGGCTGCGGGCAGCTTCGCAACCCAGCGCTCAACCACTGCGCCACCGGGGAGGCCCACTACTATGCTCAGTTTTAAAGCCATAACCACTATCCACAAATGGACCCTTATGTGCCACCCAGCAATCTGCTACTATTCATTGATCTGTTCCCAAGAAGATTATTTCATATGTCCTCCCACTCCGGTCCTCCCACAATGATGGAGGAGTTTGCTCAAACATCACTGAGAAAACAGACACACTCAGAGGCCTGTACACACCAGCATGCCCCTACTTTCTACCAGTGCTCTCTGCCTCTCCTATGACTAAGCCATCCATGAGCCAGGCCAATGACTCCACTTAAATACTTTCTATGTGCTTAACAGTGCCCAAATTAGTGTCTCCACACACACACCTCTTCCCTGAGCTTCAGAACAGCAAAATCAGGGCCTCCCCGGTGGCGCAGCAGTTGAGCGCTGGGTTGCGAAGCTGCTCGCAGCCTCTGCAGCCTGCCCCGCAGCCTCTGCAGCGCCGGTTCGATCCCCGGCTGCTCCCCGGCCACCGGAGGAGGGTCCTGCATGGCGCGCAGACCTCTCCTGCTGCCCGCTGCTCCCCTCAGCAGTGTACACTTCGGTCCTTCTGCCTGCTCTGCTCCCCGCTCTGATTCTGGTGAATTCTCTCACCCTCCCGTGCTTCTGACTGTACCCAGTGCTTGCATAAATAAATAAATAAATAAATAAATAAATAAATAAATAAATAAAAGTTAAGGGGGGGAAAAAAAAAAAAGAACAGCAAAATCAATCCATTGCCTGTGATTTCTCTGCTTGTACATCATATAGGCATCTCAATCACCATGTTTCAGATTGAACTCCTTATTCCCAAAACCTCCTAACCCACTGGCTTTCCCTTCAAAATATACTCAGAGTCTACTTTTTACCACCTCCATTCATACCATCCCGATCCCAGCTGCCATCACCTCTGAGACCACTGCAGCAGCTTCCTTACTGGCCTCCTCATTTTTGCACTTGCCCAACTTTCTGAGCAAACAGATAAGTGAGATTATGATGCTTAAACAAGCCCTCCAATAATTTTCACTATATTCTTTGGAGTAAAAGTCAAAATCTGGCACTCATCTTAACTACTCTTCCTTGTTCATTTGACTTCAGTCCTATTGTTCCTGCTGGTCCTGCACATCAAGCACACCTTAGGGCCTCTGAACTTGCTATTTCACTTATAACTCCATATCCCATTCTTCTCCCCACACAATTAGGCTCAACCCCTTATTTTATTCTGGTCCAAGATTAATTTCACCAGCAAAGACCTCTCTGTCCACTTCATATGAAGTGGTACCATCTGCTCCTCTTAAATCTTCACGCTGCTGTGTCTTTCTACATGCTAATAAATCAACATCTGCCATATCACATGTTTGTCCACTTTCTTAACTAGAATGTAACCTCCATAGGAATAGGGATTTTCCATTTTCCTAGAGCCCAGAGCAGTGTCTTATATAAGTTAGTGAGCTATGGAAGGATAGGATAAGCACACAATATTTACAAACAGTTTTTGAAAAGCTATTTGTAACTAACAGAATCTGAGAAAATGTAAAGTGTTCAATACTCATATATTGTATGAGCCACAGTAGCTTAACTGGGATAGGGTAAAGATTTCCTTTTCATTGAAAACAGGAAAATTGAATTAAAAAAAAATTGCGGGCCTCCCTGGTGGTACAAGGGGTTAAGATGCAACCTATGAAGCTATTCACAGCAACTGCAGCATGAGTTCGATCCCCGGCCGGCCAGGGAGCTACCCACATGGTGCAGCAGACCTCTCCTGACTCGCCTGCTTCTCCCTTGAGCAGTGTACTTCTGTGAATCTGCCTGTTCTGTTCCCCACTCTGTCTCTGGTGGATCCTCTCACCCCCCACACCTCTGGCCTGTACCCCGGTTCTTGTATGCATAAATAAATACATCTTTAAAAAAAAAAAAAATCGCACAGCTCTATCATTTATCCCCTCATCTCAGGATTCAACATGTATATTCCCTTAGGTCCTAGAGATTAAGAACACTTTATAACATTTGTTTAGATTAGTTACATACAAATTGAGTAAATTCTCTCCTTACCCCAACCTACTTATTCTAGGAAAAACTAAGGCTCCCCAAGGTTTAGAATTCTCCAGTGTGAAGTACAGATTTCTCAAATCGTCTGTGAGTGTACGATGGGCTCATCCCAACAGGAAATGACCAAGGTGAAGAACAGAAACTACATACCTCTTGTGAAGACATGCTTTTAACTTGTCGTGTGTTGCCACTGTGTGCTGTTCTCCCTTCCTCTGAAGGGATTAAGTAAACATGAAAGAGGGACGTTTGCAACGCTTAAGTGACTGCCACCAACTTATTTCCAAAGAGGACTCATTTACCAGAGATTCAGAAAAAAGACCAGTGGGGTTGTTAGTTCTGGCCTTTGCTTGTGATCTGCAGCACCTCCTTCCTGCCGGGCCCTCCTCTGCCCCTTCTAAGGGCACAGACTTCTGTGTTGGGGGTGGGGGGCTGTGGAGTAGAAGGCCCCTCTGTCTCCTCTGGCAACAGCTCCGTCAGCCTGTGTTAAATGGAGGCATCTGGCTATTAAAAACAAGGCAGGGGATAAAGTGCTGCCCTAAAAGCTGTGAAGGATGTCTGGATAATCCAGCTGCATGGCTGCACGCCAACTGCTTCCTATCTGCTGTATTTATGCTATTCAAGCACTTCACCCCACCCGTAACAGAAATGACAATGGATTCCAATACCAAAGAGGTATAAAGGAGAAAACGCTCTCCCCACCTTCCCTCCTTTTGGGTTCTGGAAAGAATTAAACAACATGTTTAAACCAGATGTGGGATTTGTTTTGGGGGGTGGGCGTGGAGGGTAGAGATGGAGCAGGAAGGGCAAGGGCAAATTAGTTTTTTAGTTTACATGAGGGAAATACTGCTGATAACCTTTAGAAGAGTTTCAAAAAATTCTCTTTGTCAAAAATAACAAATTAAAAAAAAAAAAAAAAACCTTCTGAAAGGGGCAACTGCCACATCGATGTAACTGACTAGAACCTGGTGAAGTTCCAGACGCTGATCCAAAATAAACAACATAAAAATCCTGAAAGGAGCTCCAGTGTCTGACCTTGAACTGCTTCAGAGAATCCATGTCATTACAAATGGTGTCTCACCATCACCAGCAAACACCACCGAATTCTTTAGGTGTGTTCTGAGTAAAACTGCCTTTGACTTAAACCCGGTATCTAACTTTTAAATGTGACCTCTTTAAGGCAAAAACTGTGTCCCCACCTGTGGCCTTATTTGTAGAAATAGGACTTGCTCTCCTGTGATCACTCAGCACATGCAAGAAGTGAGTGCTATTCTGCAGCAGGATGGAGACGCACAGCATGTCTCAGGTCTCAGGCCTTTATGTTCGAAGTTCTCTCCAGATTCAAAGCAGGCTCTGTCTGGCAGTACTGTGGTGTGGAAAGAATGCTCAGGGCCAGACAGGTCGGCATGCCTTGACCTTCTCAGTAGTGAAGAAGTGTCTTTCTGAGCTTTAGTTTCCTCA